CTCACTGCCCTAATGATTAGGTTGGAAAGGTCTAGAGAAGGTTTTGGGGAAAAAAAAAAAGGTCAAGCTAAAGGTTAAGCTAAAAAAAAAACAAAACAAACAAACAAAAAGATTGGAAATACTGGGCATAAAGATGCTGTTGGATTTCAGATACTCCATAAAAATCAAAAATGCTTCTTTGCAGTAATCAGTCCAAAAGTGCACCAGGAGCTGGATGGTTTGAGCAGGCCCGTGGGAGCTCTGGCCACTGCTGCATCCAAGCCCCTTCCCAACAGCTCCGCATCCTCCAGCAGCCTCCTCAAAGGGCAACCTATGTGCATGCATTTTGGCAGTGTTTTTCAGAGTACTGCATAAAGAAAGGGCTGCTAATTAATTCTGAGTGACAGTAAAAAGGTCTATTAACTTTGCTGATGTAAAGGATGACTGAGTTTGTATTGGAAAGGGTAAAAAGGCAGTAAAAGAGGATGTGAAAAAAATGTAGTTATTTCTCTTAAGGAAGAATTTGCTTTAATGGAAAGTTTTAATTAAAGTGTGAGCTCATCAACAGGAGAGTTTTCATGAAATATGAAGAGCTGCAAGGAAGGAACAAAGATGACTAAGAAAGAAGCCAGTTGCACTTTCCAGCTCTCTCTCACTAAGTGATACATACACGGGAAAGAAACTGTTCACTTCAGAGCATGATACTTCTCAGCCTGGTGTTTTTCTCACCTGACTTCAATCTTCAGTGAACGGGCCTTGTTGGAAACCCCTGCTGATGGCCCAAAGCCCCCAGCCCCGCAGCAAGGCCGGGGCTCGCTGGGTCCAGGCAGCCCCTCTGCCGAGCTCCATCCTGCTCTGCTGGCTGGAGCTGGCCAACCTGGGCTGGCTCTGCTGCTCATGCACAGGCTCTGTGTAATGCACCTTCTCATGCCTCCCTGCTAAAGTTCCACAAAAAATACGCTAAAACATTAGCAGTTAAACCCCAAACCCTTCTCATCTTGCTTTCATTCTTTAGGAACATTCCCCTAAATCTTTCAAACTGCCATCAAGTTTAATATTCCAGTGTTGGGCTAATGCTACCCCCAGAGCAAAACCTTCTTTTAGAGATGCTGGGATTTCCAGAGTGTCCATAACAACCAGCTCAAAATTCAGTACACATACAGAAAAGAGAATACCTTCCCTTCTAAAACCTACTGATGTTCAGCATTAAATTATATATACGCACAACTTAAACCAGGATGGGCACCAATAACCAACCTTCATTAGTTGAGCCTGCATTAAAATGCATTAAAACAAACAAAAAATCAAAACAAACAAAAAAACACATTTTATCCCAGATCCATCTCTATTTCCAGCCAGTTCAGCATGATTTGCAAGTGTAAAAGGGGATCTAGTGGCTCTCAGTAAGAGATTTCTCACTCAAATAAGTGTTGGATTAATAGCAAACACAATGAATCACAGATTTTAATATCAGACAAGAAACCTTCCACAAACCTGAGAGAGAAATCCATAAGAATGGGCGTGTATAAGTAGGTATTATAATCTGCTCAGACACAGTTACTTGAAGCAACTTTTAAAAACTACCTTTAAATATGGCAGGCAGTTTTCATAATGAACACTTTTTCAAAGACTTTGAAGATGACGTTGAAAGTTGAGTTTCTAATGCTGGTGCAGAAAGCTGCTGTGTTCTGACCCAAAAGACCTGACAGTGGCTGCTTGGCCACTGCTTAGTCTGCTTAGGATGCTTTCCTGTGCGTGAGGTGAGATCACAGACAGCAGTGTGTGGAAAAGGATCAGATGCTCAATTTTCGGAGGAGTCAGTACATTTCTGGGTGAAGTGCGCTGGTATGTTATGATGTGACTCAGACCCCCTATCACTGTCCCCCCTCTCTATGAAGTCTCACCCTCACGTATATTACTAGGATGCATGATGCATGATGGCATAAGATGCAGCACCAGACTGTTTGCTTGCTCTCTGACTTGCAAGCACTATGAGCGTAAGACAAAGCTACCTGTCCTGGCGTGCTCTGCTCCATGGAGCTCATTTCAGGTGGCATAAGTTACATGCTTGACCTTTTAAAATATTAATTTGGCTGAAGTAGTGGTTTCAGTAGGCGCAGTCATGCAGTACTAACTTCCTTGTGCTTTTGACAAAGAAACTCATCTTTAAAATTTAAAAGCACCAATTCTGAATAATTTAAACATAGTGATGACCAGTGAAGAAGCTAAAGATACTACGCAAGCCAGCCACAACTTTCAAACAAGAAACTTTTCCGTGCAGATTCCCAGAAGATGCGTGGCTGCCCGTGCAATGCAGCAGCCCTGGCAGACAGGTCAGCAGCCAGGCCCGAGCTGCGGAGACAACACCTTCCATTCGTGAGGTTCCAGCAGAACCACTCCCTCCTGCCCAGCAGCCAGGCTCCAAGTTTCCTCCTTACACACTGCAGCCGGTAACAGTTGTGCATGTTCTTGTACAGCAAACTAGAGACTCAAATCATAGCAGCAGACAAACTTACAAAGCAAAAGCAGAAAAGAATTTGAACTTGAGTCCCCATTCAAACCAATGGGGAAACCTGGCAAAGCCTGCTAGACTCGCACTGATTTCAGAGAACTTTGCATGGATATCTACCAGACATCTCCTGCAGGCGTGCTGCTACCTGGTTCTTAGCTAGAGCTTCTTGAAATATTGCAAGTACTTTCTCCAATACCTCATTTTTCATAACATTAATATTGCTTTTCATAATCTATTTGGAAGCTATTCTCTCAGCTTTAGTAGTGGCCTTGGCTCTTTAAACCAGCCTATCCTCCACAATTTTCAACAACTTATTTGCCTATAAAAAATTAGTTTACAAGGATGTCTAAAAAATGAAATATCCCAAATGGGCAAATTCATCATGTAGTGTGATCATCAGTGAGCTCTCTTATTTGAAGAGTTTCCTTGAGGTGAAGTAGCCAATACAGATGAAGACAATCCTGCTGAAGCATCTGGCGGTGCAAGGAACTGAACTACAGTCATTATGGGCAAAGCAGCTCAGTCTTTTCAGCTGCTCAGCTGATAGATAATTTCTCTTGATGTTGGGAAAACCCTGGGTCATTAGATCATAAATGTGGTCAATCTCTCAGCCTTAGCCTTCTACCTGTATGAATGGCAGGTATTTTTTATGGATCAGTGTTTCCCTGAGAACTAAATCCTCCATAAGCTTAGGTCACATGAACCTAAGGTTCACTCCATCACCTCTTAACTTATCTCACAGTTGAAGCCCTTCCAGCTTGCATAAGAACTTCCTAAAACATATTCTTCTTTAAGCAGAGATGTAAGGAAGAAAGGCCAAAGATGAGAAGCTTCCATGCCTTGGTTTAGCTACGAGGAATGCCATGCAAACACAGCTCCCTGCTTAATAGCTATCCCACTTGTTGACAATCCAGAGCAGATGTTTAGCCCACTGTTCTGGGAAGTTACTTACACTTTAATTACATTAATTGAATTGTGCCTAATTGGCAAGTCACTTGCCATTAACACGTGCAAAGCGATATAAGCCAGTGAAACAGCCCTTGATACGGGATCACTTATCAGTAACTCACCGAAATTACTGAGATTATTTAAACTTTTACTTACAAAACTATTTATACTTCAGAATTAAAAAGGCATATGGTCTGGATTCAATTAACATCAGGCACCAACGTCATCAAATGAATGAAAACTCCCAAGTCTTTTTTATATATCTAAAAGAATACAGATCAATTTTCAAAATTTGTCTGCAAGGTTTTATTGCAGGCAGAACTTTGTCTGCACTAGGACAATTTTCACAGTGGAACTGCCGTATGGAGTTGGGGCAGATGGAGAAACTTTGGTCAAAGCTAAAATTACTACAGCTGCTTTGCTACTAGGAGGCACCTTCTGCTCTCAGTATATGGTTTGCACATCTACCCGTTAGCTCCTGCGGCATGGGAAGATATGTAACACAGAGGAGCTGGCATCTGTCACATCTTCATAAAAGCAGAAACTTGAGATTTTCTAAGATATATACAAAAATGTGTTTCTTTAGTAACAAAGATTAAACTTATTTTTATCTGTGTCATTACAAGAGCTTTCACAGCACAACCTTATCATGTACACTGTCATTCCTTTATGCAGTATTTTGCTACTTTATTAAGTATCCAGGTTTGCTACCTTAAAAAGGCAGAGCAAGGACTTGAACCTGGGTTACCCACATCTCAGAAAAGTGCTCTACCAACGACTCTTTACACTGGCTGGGATTAGTTTAACTTTTTTCATCGTTTTACATCTTTTTCTCTACTGCTCTAATCCCCTTCCTTCTCTGTTTCTCGTAATTACTTTAAGGCGAAATCTTGAATCACAGCAGCATCTTGGCAGCTTCGATACAGTATCTAGAATGCAAGAGACACACCTCCAATGCTTTCTCCAGAAGATGGCAATGGTGAGGGCTTACTTTTACTTTTATGTCTGGCTCAAACCAAAATATTCTTATTTAGATATATCAAAAATCTAATAAATGAAAATTTATCTTTCATTTGGTCCTCTTTTGGTCCAATCCTGCATTTGCTGAAGTTGGAATATTTTAAATTCAAGGTTAAGTTCTCATTACATGCTCACTGTTGCTATTGACAGAATACCAGCAGTGTTACCTGTAACTGGATATATGACATACCTAACTATACTGGTTTGAGGTCAGTATATTTTATTTCAGTGTAGCTGATCTGGCAAAGCAAGGGAAAACATAGTGATTGGCAGAGCTGATGCTGGCTTCATTCCCTTGAACTCTGCATTGAGCTGAAGAGAACAGACACAAGAGGAGAACAGGAGACACAACAGAGCTGCTTTCAACTCTGCTGCAAGTTTGAATTATTTCCCATTATATTAATAAAATATCTGGCATTGGATTCTGTTACCTTGAATCATTTGGAAAATATTAAGAAAGGTCCAATACTGTTGAACTTACTGCTCAGTGATGGGGATGAAGGTACAGCATCGCCCAGCACGACTGCTGAGCATTTGAGCATTTAGCTGCTCAAAATCCTGGCATTCCCTTGCCATGGTGTCCAGGCACAGGAGGCACCTTGCAAGCTGTCAGTGGCAAAAGAAAAGGTAATTTGTATTTGGAGCTTGATATGACTCTCGAAAGAGCCAAGAAACACATACTAGGTACTTTTCCAGTGAAAGGCATTTGTGATCAGCTTGGAAAAGTCAAATCTCTATATACTGACTCATCCCTTCCCAGCGCAAAGAGGCTTGGTTAAACAAGCACAGTCAGACACGATGCTCGGCACACGGGGTGTCACGAGGGCAGATCTGCAGCGCAGCTCCCCAGCACCAACACCTGAACACGCTGCCCTCAATGTATCCACCCAGCACCTTGCACTCCCAGCCCTTCTCCAAAGCATCACGCATAATTACAGCGGGGCCATTAAACACATTACATTGTGACTGCATTCACAAGGTCAAGGTATGTTTCTCTGCTATGTTCTACATTCTCATATACGTTTCAGGTTAAGATGTAAACACTTCTCACTGAAGCAGGGCATTTGCTTAGCACACTATAAACCAACTGCTTTTATTTATCATTGTCTCCTAAAAAACACACCACAGAAAGCAGGGGGGAGGCTCTTAGGTTCAGGTAACTCCACCAATCTCAGTTTCTGTGAGAACATCTAGCTTTGCTGTGGACAACAACACTGCAACCTTTTGTATTAACAGAAAAGGGTATTTGCAGACTGTGCCCTCAATGAGCAGTTAAAATTTGTCATTACTATATAATCCTACTCTTCACGCTACTGTAGCCAGAGTATGTGTTTTTTCTATTAGAATTACATAAAGATTTAAGTTGCTATTTTTTCCTAATCAGTTCTCCTAATTTCCTGCTCCTGACCTTTCATTGAAGGTCTTTGCGTTTTATTAGGAAAGGCAAGTCTCAGCTTGCATGTAATAGCTCTAAAAGCAGACCTCCCCGGGAGCGCCACAGACTTTTTCCAGTGAACTTTAGTTTTCATCTCAGAAGCTCTGACGATTCCCTGACATCTTATGGTGCCTATTTCCTCCTTCTACTGCTCCAGGGCAGCTGACATTTTGTCACATAAGCACCCACCCATTGCCAGGGTATTTGATCACTGCAAATGAGGACAAATGAGCACGGAGTGAGACTCCAAGCAAGGCTTCAGGGAAGCAGCGGGCCAGCAGCACGTCAGCCTGCCTGCTGCTGAGCTCCAGCTGTCCCCAAGTACTTGAATCCAAGGTTCATTTCCCGTTAAATGGCACTGAGACCCTACAGACACAATATTAGTTGTTCTGATAGACTCTTCCAGCATTCAGAGATGCAGCCGAGGGCGGCAAGTGCCTGCAGGAGCTGCGAACAACCTTCATTGCAGAGAACGTCAGTGGGCTACAAGAAGAGAGGCTGCAGTTCAGTTGACTGCAGAAGAAACCTGGACTTGGCTTTCCTGTGACCCTGTGCAGTACAAGATCTCATGCCAGGGAGATATGGGACGGGGGAGCAGCATCTAAAGAGACACAGGTATCATCAGCATTTAAATCTTTGCCTTTTCTCCTGGAGTCACCATCAACTCTGACTATGGTTTCCATATTAGGGGTATCGGATGTCTGCCAGGCATTAAACTGGGTTTACCACTTCATAATTAATTTTATACGGGTAATAGATGACGACCATTCACTGAAGAACAGCCATGTGATCATGAGACGGCAATAATCAGTATCACTTTTGACCGATAGAAAAGACCCTTGAACTATCTTGATTCCCAAAGACTGATTTTCACTTAATCAGACCATAAATTATTAGGTTAAATGGCACTACAAAAATAGATTTCTTCATATATTCAGTGGTCTAAGCTATTACCTTCATTCTATTTTTTTCCCTTTATGTTAATTGAAGAATCAAGACTTTTCATCTGCCAAAGCTCTGGACATTTCCCCAGATTTGTCTCAAAGTGTTTTTCACATCTTGTTTTTCATTCACGGTCTCCGGTTTGTGTCAGGAATTCTTAAATCAGCATCCCAATTTATGGCAGATGTCTGGACTTCACTACATTTATGGTTTATCTCCGTATTTTCATGTCTCTCAAATTCCAGTCCTGCTTCCCTTCATACCTGAAATAAAATGCAGTGTCTCCTGCCTGTTACCTGCAGGGCTCCCGCGAGGGAAGGGCACGGGTCGGGAGCCCAGCACCTTCCAAAGGTGCCGCAAAGAAGCGCCCAGGACTCCTGCTGCCCTGGCAGGGGCAGGCAGCACCCGCGCAGGACGCTGCAAGGCAGCGGCCCTGGGTGCTCGGGGGTGCTCAGGATGTGGCATTACAGGCAATACCACCTACCAGAGGTCACGCTGGGCAGACCGAGCCCAGGCACATGCAGGGACAGGCACTGTGCCACTGGATCAGGCAGGCGGCTGGAGAGAAGCTGCAGGCTGTGCAACACCCGCAAGGCGTTCACATCTCCCTCAAGTCCTTCAGGCTTTGGGGAGCTGCTCTTAACCTCCCACCACGGGATGGGGGGTAGTTTATTCCCTCAACAGTCCACCCAAGACACCAGTCAGCCTCCACGCAGCGGAACAAACTCACTGGTCTTATTAGCAAATGTTTTGACAACTGTGGAAATAGGAAGTGATTAGACACCAGTCCACAGACTCATATTGTGAACTATTAGACCTACTGCATTTTGTTCAGAAGGAAGATTTTGATGGGAGACTTTTTAGTGCACAGGCAGAAAGACTTTTTTTTTTTTTCCAATGGCAAAAGGCACTCATTTGATACTACAGAAATCTAGCAAATTTAATAAGCTCTAAGCAGCCAGTTTTTTTCTGACTGCACAGTCCAGACCCCTGTAGCTGTTAGCCTACTTTATAAGTAACCCCGTTTCTTGAGATGAAAGAAATCAAAGAATATCTTTTTTCTATTTGTAAATATAGAACAGAGTATAATAACTTCAGAGATTCAGCAAAGCTCTATTATTACAATCCAATGATTACCAGCAACATTTTTTTTCTCAAGAGAATTACTATATATCAGCATATTTGCTAGCATCATTTACTAAAAACCTATGAATTAGATCAGTACAAATTTTTAGAAACAGTAATAAAGGAAAGAACCTGCTTATTCAAAACTATGACCATTACTTATGCAATCATTTATTCAGACTGCATTAGATTTAGGTTACCCTAATTAATTTATCATAAGCAAAAAAATAATTCAAGGAAAAGTAATAATAATGTCTCTATGGCAGTACCAATTTGAGAAAACTGCCATGCAAATATATAGAATTTAAAAGAGCTACATCCATTTGAAAAGTCCCTTGGGCCATGTAGCTTCCCACAGACTGATCTTCACTCAGTTACGCCATAAATGTTAGGGCTTGGTTCATTTATTATAAATATCTGCGCCTGAGGGTTAATGCCAAGCAAGAAACTGCTTGAAGACTCTTTCATATTCACAGCAATTCTCTCTCCTCATATGGATTTTATTGTTAATTCGAGTTTGCTAAAATAACTCTGAAGGAATACTTTAAAACTGCGGTTCATTTGCCTAATGCAGAGGGACTCACCCCGATGTAAGGAGGGAGCGCGAGCGCCCTGGGGCCTGTCCCAAGCGCCTCCGCCGCTGCCCACACTGCCACAGGATGCCTCCTCTCTAAAGGCATTGGTCCCCCTGCTAAAACACCAGGTGTGACTTCCTGCAGATCACTGCAATTACCAAGAGCTTTTAATGCGGGTCTACATTTCCCAAGAAAACAGACCAGGCAATATAGATTCCTTGTACAGGCCTTTTCAATTAAATCCTTTTCTGTTACAAGTTTAAGCTGGTAACATAAAGAATAAAATATGCCTTTACAAAAGAATGATAGTTATATTTCTTCACAATTCAATTAAGAATGACAGACAATTCTATTTTTTTCTATTTCTGTTATGGATATATGCAGTCTTTAATCTGGATTCTTTTTTCTTCTTTTTTGGATCATCAGTGTTCCCAGCTTAATTTTGCAGTGAAAAAGCTTCTGTCTGCTGCCTTGATCAAATGTTGGCTTTGAATGTTATATATAGCGAGGACCAAGAAGAGTGAACAGAAGAGATTACAATACAGTAAGAAAAAGCTTTGCAATATGGGGATCATTACAGAAAAAGAAACAGGATGAAAAAAGCCTGCTCTCATCCCTATATACTAACATCCCTATATACTACATCCCTATATACTATACCCCTATATACTAACATGCTCTCATCCCTATATACTAACAGACTACACTATCATTTTACAACAGTTTTGTATAGGTTTTCCATTACTCACTTCTGAACAAGTTTGGTTTTCACTCTTTTTTTATTCTCTCCTTCCTACTAGTAAAATTAAACTACATGACAACTATGACAAAAATGAACCACTCCATAAGAAGGGAATAGCTTTGTTTTTACTAACCCTCATAGTTGTTTTAAAGAACTGCAAGAAAAGCTACAAGATTTTTATTAGCAAAGATCATTTTCTAATGCGGTTAAGGCTATAAGCCATAATGAAGCTGTAAAACCATTCAAGATATGCGTGTTCTGTAAAAGCCTGATTAAGAGGATAAGAGCAGGAAAATTCCGGCTTCCTGCAGAACCTTGTGCCTGCAGATTTTGCACTTACTTGGCCATTTCTCTCATTTAGAGCAAGCTGAAGGTGTTGCCACGATGCCGCACTGACACAGGACACGCATGTCCAGAGGCACGCTCAGGGATGTTAGACAGTCCAATGGAATTGCAATGCTGGAACGTGGACGGAGAACCAAGGCATTAACACTGGAGCTGTCCTTAGAGGTCCAGGGATAACGGGAAAGCCCTTGGGTGTGAGGCAGTGAACCACAGAGCGAGGAGCTGTTCCTGAGCTCACGTTTGGCTGACCAGAGCCTGGAGCACCCCCAGCTCCCAGCCCGGCTGCTGTGCTGTGCAGCCAGCCCAGGTTTAGGTCGGCACTAGGAAGCTCTGCAATACTGCAGCCTTCCCTGCTAAATGAGCCAGCAATTTTCTGTGAGAAAGAGAAATTAATGAGGCGGAAATGCTCTTCAGTCCCAGTCAACAGGACATCGTTAAAAATCAAAGGAAACTGAAGCAACAACTGTAGCTGGCAGTTACAGCTTCCCATTTTTTAATCAGTGGAAAATACTTTTTCACCCATAGTGTGTCTGAAGTGGAAAGAACCTGTTAGCAGCACAGGTGGCCACGAGAAGAGCATTTGCAAAGGAAGGAATGGGAGGGTGGATGAGGAGAAGCAGTTGCCACCACTCGCTCAGTGCTGAGGCAAGAAGCGAGGCCAGAGCTCATGTAAGCAGTGGCAGAGGAAAGATCCTGCTGGAAATTCCTGCTTCCTGGGGCCTTCCCACTTCGGGCTCCCCATGTTTGGGTCTCTAGGCAGACATCCTTCACTGGCACACCGTGCCCTATATCTGGAACCTCTTTTCTCACTCAGCATCACTGGGATGGCTCTGTCTCTCCAAAGACTGAAACAGGATCTTACCTACAGGATTTCCATTTTTACCTTCGCTACAACTGGTCAGATCACTTAGATTCCTTTGGTTTTTTTTGTAATGGTGGAGCCCTGACAAGCTATTAAGCAAATTAACTCAAGTTTCAAACCAAACTTCAGGACTAAAGTTTAGTTTCATAGTGGAGCACCAGACAGATGAACCTAATCCCTTCCTGTCGGCATCTAGTGCTCCTCAGACTAGACCTCACCTCACAAACTCATCTCCACAAGCCACCATTAATACACAGGTATCATTTAGATTACACAACATTCTACAAAAATACATTTACTAAAAAGTCCATAGCATTTATTTAAACTAAAAATACATATGATAACCTTAATGACATTCTGTTTTCTTCTAATTGGGCTATTACAAGGAGCAACCACGGTAAGATGCGGGATGCCTCCCTGCACGGGTTCGGGCGGTTCCTGGCAGCCCGGCAGGCCCGGCGCCGGCGGAGCGGCCCGGGTGGGAGCGGGTTCCACCTCCGCCGGGGCTGGGCCTGCGGGGAGCCCCGCTCACTGCGAACCCTCCCAGGCCAATGTGCACCAAACCCATGCTTTGTGATCCCTGTCTATAGTGGTGGTTTTTACTGAAATACTAAGCTTCTCAGGTGTAATAAAATCAATGTATCCTTCAGTAAAGTACCTCCGGGAGGAGGAAGATCCTACAACACTCTGTCTTTTGCAGCTCTACTTCCCCCTTTTTTCAGGGAGTACCGCTGATCTCCAGGCACAGATGTTACTTCAGCTGCTTCCAAAAAAAATCCTCTTTTGTTCACCTGGAAAACAGACCTGCTCTTGTCTCAATGCTTTTTGTTTACTTGAACACTCTGGTGAAGAAAACAAATGACAGCCACTGCTCCAGGCCCAGCTGTGAGCCTTTCACCTGGACCTTGCTAAGGCACACGAGGGAGTGCTAAATGTTCCTTTTCCTTCTTTTTTTGCTGGGTGTTTGTCCCTGCTGCACCTTCTTTTCTCCCTGTCTATATGAACAAAATTATTTCACTCTTTACCTACTGACCGTTGTCATTTAAGTTCACTACATTCTAAACCAGTGTCTGGAAAATGCCACATTTCTTTTCTCATCGGACCAAATGAATGCGGTACTCATTTTGTACCACATTTGGGAGTTCAGAACTCAGCCATTTAAGAGTGTAATTTCAAGGCAGGAAGAAATCGCATGTCATTTTAGATATTGTTGGTAATAATCATCATAGCTGGAGCACAGAAATCATGGAGTGTTATTCAAATATTACTTTCTGCAAAGGCAGTGAGCTGGATCCTGGGCTACAGCAGTTCCCCCTTCTCTGGTGTCTCTTGACATTATAGGCACGCACCATTACCTGTGTGCATAATACTGCTTTGAATTTATGACAAGCTGCAATGACAACTAGAGATTTAAAATACCTGTTAACCAGCACAGTCCTTAGCCTTGGTTTCCTTCCTCCAGCCACATGCTGCAAGGTTGACAGCAACGATGGTGGGTGACATCTGAACAGCCCTGTGACACCAGGGGCTAAGTCTGTAACAGTGGAATGTCTTTTTCCTGCTGTGAACTAGCACTCTCAACACCCGACCAGCACTTCAGCACCCAGCTCCCTAACTCGCTGCAGGAACATCAGACTGCAAGAGAGGACTGGAGTTAACCCGGCTGCCGCTGCTGGGAGTGACCTGGAGCACCACACCAGAACCTCCGCAGGCAGATCAGCAATCGAGGTTATCTGAATCCATTCATTTCTTCCAATAATCACCTATAGTTGTAGACATTTGAAAATAAAAAATGTAAGGTAAAACAGGCTTACCTAAGTGTCATGCAGAGATCAGATTGTCCTTTCCTTTGTATTTGAATTCATTATATTCTTAACCTGAAAGTAGGAACATAATTTCAGAAAAATGACTCATCACTAAATTACACCAAAGCCACGTTAGTAGAGTGACTAATTCATAAATACATTGAAGCTTCATTCTTTCCCAGCTTTAACCTCACTATCTTCAATTCTAGCACCTATGTGCTAGCTCCTTTGGATCTGTGATTCAGCCTGGCCTGCAGGCTCCTTCCTCTGGCACTATGGAACATTTCAAACAAAAGAGAGTTAACTAACAAGTACTAAAACTTGCTAAAAAAGGAAAAAAATTAACTGGATGATATGCTTCCAATTAGTTTCTCTGTATTTCAGATAGAAAGATTTGTAGATTTGTATGTACAAAATTCAGTTCCCCTCGCCTCTTATTTATGATCTATTTCAGACTCATAGCACAGAGTTATTGAAAGAGTGAAGATGTAAATTCAAATTAATCTACAGGTTTTTTGTTGCAGATAAAAAGTCAGGAGTAGAACATTAGAGAAATATCTAGCTTAAAGCCAAGTGTGACTACAAATAGCATACTAAACTGAAGCACAATTGCTTCAGTTGTACATTGAAATTCATGCACATTGAAATTTCCATGCTTCACAACAAAGGAAGTTAAATGGAAGGAGGAAGAAGGTGCCATACACAGCTTTGAACAACACACAGGGATTGGTGAGGATGAAGGCACCCTCAGTAATAACTGAACAGGCAAGGAGCTCAGTGGGAAGGAAAATCAACTGCACTTGCTCCTTTTTCACTCGCTATGTGTTATATCAGCCACCACCACCGTCTCCTAGAGAAAGAGTTTTTGGTTTTGGTGGTGCTTTCAAGACAAGCACAAGCTGCAGGACAAATGTTTCAGAGTCTTGAGAGCGGCTTCTCAGCATCACTGTGCTACCGGGCAGTGAGGCCTGAAAATAAAACTACATTCCCCCTCTGGGAGACTGAACACATTATAACTTCATTGTATAGGTAGAGAAAAAAAATCCATCTTAAACTTGCTATATATAAAAAAAGTATTGGACAAATTAATTCATGTACCAGAGAACAAGTATCCCAGCAAGGGTGGAAGAGCAAAGCAGAGAAAGGCCCAAGTGTATCCCAGTAAGGAAAGCCCGTTAATTACTGCAACTTCTGGTTTCACTCTTTGGTGAAAGGCTTCTGGTCAAAATATAACACAACCTAGCAAGATTTAGGAGCCTGAGAGAGCACTAGATCATCTCCCTGCTACCAGACTCTGCAGACTGCAAACCAAGTCGCACGCATTTCTCAGAGCACAATATTTCACACTGCAGCTCCAGCCTTTGGTAAGGCCAAGATGTTTCAGAAGTTTCAGAACTTGCAATTTAAGGAGTTAAGATTTTCTGAAAGTACTTTTTTTTCCCACAGAAATAGTGGCAGGAAATTTAATTAAGGAAATTTAATAAAGCCAAAAATGTATCCTCTGCCTTAAAAAAAAAAGACTAAATTGACTAAATTTAACTTAATTTCCCTGCTATGCTTGTGGAAATGAATGCAAGTAAGAAACTTTCACTTACTATGGTTACCCCCAGGGATAAACTAGAGAACAATTAACTCACAGCCCCAGTGGTGGCTACTTCTAAGGAGGCCTGGGAGCGCCGCAGTGACCTCGGAGCAGAGACGTCCCCCAGGCACCACCTCCCCAGGGAAGATGAAGCCAACAAGCTCCGAAGTGCAGCACGGAGCAATGCTGCTCCTGCAGCGGGCCGACAGAAACCCTGAGAATCCCTCTGGGCTATGAGCAGAAAGGCAATGCAGGGAAAAGCCATCATCGCTGCCATTACAGGCTCCTTCGTTTCCAGCAAAGCCAGATAACACCATTCTCAGCATCCTGTCAAAAGCTTTCACTACCAGACTTTCTGAATTTAATAAATGCTAAGAAAGGTCATAGTATAGAGAAAATTAAGGCTTATTTGGTGTAAGTTGCATTAGATGACAAAATGGGCTCCTTTTTTTTCTCCTAAATGACATAAAAACAAGCCCTAAAAAACAGAAAGTAGTTTCTTTTTCTAGGAAGAGAAGCAACAATATTGTTTTCCTAGCAGATTTTCCAGTACTTGTATTACAGCTTTTGTATTACTTACTCTTGCGACTGCATTCATCTCAGTAACTGATAAATATTCAGTCAGCATTTTGTTTTTAAATTTATCTGCTACCTGAAGCAGGTCCTGTTAGAGAATATTTTATTATTTTCATATTTCATACATAAATGCCTGTGGAAGGGCTGCCGCCAGCCTTTAGAGAGCAGCGGTGCCACTCGTGCGGGGCCCCAGCAGCCTCCTCCCCTGCCCAGCGTGGGGAGCAGGCACTGCAGCTCGTACCCCAACACTGGGCCCACTGTCCCTTCTCTCTCCTCTATTTTAATTAAAAGAGAAAGTCTTAAGGCAACAGCTTGGTATTGCTCACTAGTATCTCTAACTCTCAGCAAGAGGCACCTGGGAATTTAGGCACTAGACACACTCAGCTTCAGGAAATGCTGGAAATCAGACTCGTATTTGCCAGGCACAATTATTTGAGTACACGTATTCCCAGCTGGCGTCAATCTGTCAGTTTTTGTTTTCTGGATGTGGTAACACATAATCCATCATATTTAATCAAATCATTTCCTCCAAAATGCTCTTAGGTTATTCTGTGTGCCTACATATCAACCTGAGACGCATGCAGTACAACTTATGACAAAATCAGGATTTCAGGTTAGAAGTGATGCTCTGAATTTACCCAGACTACCATTCTATTCACACAGAAGCAGAACTGAATCTGCATGCTTGTTTGAAAAAGGGACACGGAGAATCAAGAGCTAGTCCAATTGGCAAGTTTTCCTGCTCAATGCAAAGAACTGTGTTTTAAAGAATCTCTTCAGACAGCAAATATCATCTAATCCCATTCCAGAAGGGAAAGCCTGGCCCTTGTCATATATCCCGGGAATCTGCTTGGATCCGCTCGGTGCCTGGCCCCACCCCACGACCAGCTTTCTGCTGCCTCCATAGCACGAGGCTACCTTCACGCACAGGAACTGCCCCTCTGGACATCACCAGGCTCAGCATCCACCCTCACAACGGTTTTGCTCAAGTATTTTTTCGTCACCTGCTCTTATTCAAATATCCTCTTTCAGTTTTTGAAAACATTTATTATTCCTACACCTATTTTTGGGGGACTATGAATCACTTCTAATAACATATATCGAATACAGAGACAGGCTTTTTTCTTCCTGCAGTCTATGTATTTAAATTCAAACACATCCATCACTCACGCAAACTCACTGTTTATAACTGAGGGTTACAGTGTCTTCAGAGAACTCTCTGGGAACTTAAAGCTAGGCATATATTTATGGTATAGCACTGAACCGGGGACCGAATGTGCTGTATTCTCCTATTTCCCTGCTTACATCTCCTCAGAAACCCATCTTATAATTTTGGATAACTCTAGCATAACCTGAGTCTCTGTGCACTCAGCATTAAAACCTGCTTTCTTACTTTGACCTAGCTGTCCTGTACCTTGACATACTAATGCTAGGTGAATTTGAACAACTTTTTCTGACCTGTGTTTAGCCCTGGTCGCATCTCATAAAGCACGAGCCTGTCAAGGACCGCAGCTTAACCCCACTTCCAGGGTAAGACTTCATTTCTCACTGCTCTCATTCACAGAGTGACAATCCATTCTTTCCCTGATTTGCTGAATAAAACATGACTGAGCTATAAAATATAAACGAAAACATGTTGATGCTGAGAGTAAATTAAAAGAACAATTCACTCTTTCTTGCCAGACATTTCCATGTTGGTGTGCAGAGTTATTTGTCTTCTCTCTGCCTTTTGTGAAGCTTCAAATACAGCATCAGAGAGGAGCCTTTCCTCCCTTGTAACATCCAATTCTTTCACACTTGCTGACAGTACTTTTGCTTCTAACATCCCCATGAAAGCTGGATTAAAGACATCTTCCCGTAAAGTGAAGCCATAAACAAAGGAGTTGCTGTGCAGAAGGATGGCATTTTCTCATTCTACACAAAATTTTCTGATTTTTCATTTGAATCCATCAGTAACACAACAGGCTTTGTAGTCTCCAACAGGGCATGGCTATACTCTGCTAATAAGATTTGGAATATTTTGGATGGTAAAGACAGACAAGAATGGAAAACATTATGATCTTTTCCATAAGGAAACTGTTACCTTTGTTTACTCTCTATGTGTGCCAGTAAGTGCTTTATGCGATTCAAGGCTGCAAGACCAAGCTGGAAAAGCACTTTTTTTTTCAGAGAGAAGGAGACAAAGAAGAAGAAAAGTAATACGACCATGAGAAATTCACCTAACTATATTAAAAAGGTAATAAAGGATAAATAAGTTTATCAACCAGGCTGCACAGACTACTCGGAGCAGCCGTTTGGACGCGAGGAGCTGCAGTGCACTCCGGGTACAACGGGAACATCCCGAGGGGCAGCGAGGCAGCCTCACAACAAGCCTGCCAGGTGGGAGGCTGCTCGGTGCCTGGTTCACTGAAGGTTCACAGAAGACTGTCTCTTCAATTCAAGCTCTGGAATACATTAATTCAACAACTTTAATGATAACAGATTCAAGGTCCCTCATTTACTGCCAGTTTAGCACTTATGAGCAGAAATGCAGTGGTGGCCCTGAACAAGGCCTTTCCTACACGTTCACTACACACAACGCTACACAATAATTGTTTCATTTACTTTTTAGTTGGGTCTTTTTGATGGATCTGTTTAGAGAAAAACCTCATAAACAACACATTAGGTATATTAAGGGAAAAAATTCACAGTGCAGATCAAGACGGGTCTTACACAGACCGCAGTGATATAACAGTGCTGTTTTATAACATGGCACTGAAGCCCTGCTAGAACTTTTATCTGTCCCCATGGCTACTTTTTGAACAAAACATTTCCTTCTTATATGTTGTGTAAAAGTAAATTCCTTAATGCTTGAGATCTTGAGTTCAAACAAGATATAAAATCATCTATATAGAACAGAAAGCAACAGTTCACA